CTAAACTATCCATTCTTTTATTCGGATTATAGATACAGATAGATAGATAGATAGATTAGTTTGCTGGTTTGTCATGGTATTAAAAGGCGTCAGTAGCACCTATAGCTATAGCAACAGATTTATGTTATATATTGGACAAGGTATTGAGCTTTGCACGCTGTTAATTCACCATGTTTATTGAATATAATTTATATAGACTTTTATAGATATAAATATATTGAGTAAGGACTAAAAGGTAAATCATCCAAGAGACTTTTATAGAGTATATATATATATATATTGGTCAATGGTCACAAATTTGCCCCTGCAATCGTATGAGTTTTATCTTTTAAGTTTCATTCTCTTTTTTTTTTCTTCTTTCTTTCTGTTTTGTCCCTTTTCTTCTTCATCTTTTAATGTCGCAATGCTTTTTATTTTCTCTTAATATGTGCATCTTCAAAATAAAACTTTTGATTGGCTATAGCTCATTCAATTTGTTGTATGCTCTGGTTTTTCATTTCTTTCTACAAAACACCAAAACCAAATACAGGGAGCTTGTGTTTGGAGTGGAGAGGAGATCAACAAACGAGGCATAAAAGGTGACAAGAATTCAACATCTTTTCGGCTATAACCACGTAAGACTATGAACTTTTGCTAAGAATATTTCTACGATATTAGCTGTTCAGGGTTTAATTTTTTCCTTAGAAGCCCAATTTCTAGACATGGGATGGGTGTATGCTTTGTATCTCTAAGTATTGGTTTCCACTTAATTGATAATATCCTTTAGGACTTTATAATTTCTAGAATTATTTGTCTAGAGAAATGGAATTTCATGGCACACAATTTCACTTGAAGACAGACGTTTGTACAAAATTAAAATACAAATACTTGTAAAATACAAATACTTGTATTAGTAAATTTAGTATAACTAATTAATAATTTTTATTAGTAAACATGTACAATTATTAATATAATTGATAATGTGAATTATATTACATAGATTAATATACATTATTTAATACAGATAACTAATAATATCATTATTATAAGTTTGTAACTAATTAAATTAAATATTATATATAAAATTAAATATAATTATACAAATGTTATAATATAAATATATAATTATAATTATATAATATATTTTAATTATACTAATATTTATATAATTATAATATATTATATATTAAATATAATTATTTTAATATATTATTATATTTATAAATAAATATAATTATAATTATATAATTTATTAATATTATATACACATATATATTACAATTATATGCACATATAATATACATTTATAAATATACATATAATGTTAATAAATTTATCATATATATTATGTAAGTATAATTATATTTAATTAAATAATTATAATATATTATATAATTATACTAATATTATAATAAAATATATAATTATAATATATATTATTTATAATCCTATATGTATATATTATAATATAAATATATGATTACAATTATGTAATATATATAAATATTAATTATATTAATATATTATATAATTATAAAGTATATTATAAATATACTAATATATAATAAAAATTATATTTAATATATAATATACTTTATAATTATATAATATATTATTATTATATACACGTATACATTATAATTATATGCACATATAATATACATTTATATATATAATATAAATATATTATTATATAATATTAATATTTTTAATATATATTATATAAATATAAATATATTTAATTAAAGAATTATGATATATATTTATATAATATATTGTGTATGTGTATATAATAATTATAAATATATTATATAATTATACTAATACTATAATAAAAAATTTAATTACAATTAAATATTATAATTATAATATATATTATATACATAATTATATATTAATTTTTTTAATGGGTGGCGGGACAGCCCCCATTTCTAAACCGGAATCAGACTTGGGTTTTGTCCAAAACCCTCCAAGTTACTAGTGGATTGAGGAATTCTAAATTTTTAGATTTGATTCCAAAATTCCGATTCCGATAGTAGTAATCCAAACAACAATTATGGGGTTTATTCCAATTCTTCTTTCTGAAACCCTCTTATCAAACGTCACCTTAATAGTTGTGTTTAGTCATCTGCCTTGTGAGTTGGGAAACAAGTTGAAGCCGTACCACTACTAGTGAATCAAAATTTGGGTAAATCCGATTTTCAAAATTTCAGTGATTTAAATTGTGTCATACCACTTGATGAGACGGTGTGACACAATTTTGACCATTGAATTTTTAAGAACCAGATCTATCCGGTGTAAGCCTTCCCAGTAATGATGATAATGACCTAATGAAGATCAAATTTAGTTTTACTTTCACAAAGATGGTTATAATTTGTTTTAAGTAGTCAAAAGACTCTTACTAGCATCTTCTGCAAGGGAAGCTTCCCAAAAAGCCAAAATTTAGTATTTTTAAAGTTTAAAAAACCAAGATTATGCATCCCTAAAGTTAAATCTACATCCTTTCATTTTAAATCCATACTCTATATATGGCATATTTTATCAATGTTCAAAAGGGGGGTTTCATTTAGTCCGTCTCTTCCCCGCAACTTCATCTTTCTTACCGTAAATTACTATTAGGTCTATTATGATTCAATATATTGTCAGATGACTCTCATAAGATTTTAACATATTCATAATATTCCTCTGTAGTTTTATATAAAGTAAAAAATGAATGAAAATGCTACCGATTAAGGCGATTGAATTGGACTTGCTTCGAAAATATATGTGATAAAATCATAATATCTGTTTAACTCGCATATGATTTAATGAAATATATATTTTATTCTTTCATACTTTTGACATTTATCTACATAATTTTACAGGGGATTATATGCAAAATCTTCAGAAGAAGCCCCACTCGGATGTACCAAAACAAATTAACGCGTTTATGTATGACCCTTGCTTGACTTGTATAGTTATAGGCTTTGGCTCTCAGCAAAGTCAAGTCAACTTCCAATAATTTGATATTGGAAGTGCGGTTTGGCCGGGCGAGGACTGGCCGATTGGGACTGCAGAGATTATCCAATGGGTTCTTTGAGGGGCTGCTGTGTTAGAATTCTCATTTGTATGCATAAGGCTCCGAAAAACCCAAAATTATGTATTCCTCAAGTTAAATTTACATCCTTTCATTTTAAATCCATATTTTGTACATGGCATATATTGTCAATGTTCAGAAGTGTGGTTTGATTAGTTCTTCCTCCCTCCCCCCCCCCCCCCCACCCCACAGCCCCCACCCTATCTCTGCAGGTAACTTCAATTTTCGTAGCATAAATTATTTATAACTTCATTCTGATTTTGCATATTATGACATGTTTTTTCTAAGGTTTCAAAATATTCACATAACTCTCTCATAGTTTCATATAAAGTAAAAAATTAGACGAAAAACACCATTAATTAACGTGATTGAATTAGATGTACTCTAAAAATGAATGTGATGAAATCACAATATACACTTAACACTCCTATAAGTTGTGCGGATATCTTCTTTATCTCCTTGTAATATTTCATATTTATTCACATAATCATTCAAGAGTTATATACATTATCACAGAAGTTACTAGTAATTTACCCATTTCTTAAGGCTGTTTCTGTTTCTTCATTTGTTCAACAAGACTCAGAAGAACATCCCTCCCCCCCCCCCCCCAAAATGATGTACTCAAACAAATTAACACGCTAATTTCCCTTGATAATTCTATGACCCTTGCTTACCTTTTAGGATTAAGATTTAAGCTCTTAGTCAAGTCAAGTCAACTTCCTATACACTTTGGTTTTTTTCTGAGAAGAATAATTATCTAATTTGATATTTCTCTGACAAGAATAGTTATCCTTTTTGTTTGGGTCCAAAAAGAAGGGTTTTGGTTAGAAGCTTTATCTTTTTATTTCACCTATCTTATTTTATAATTCATTGGTAAAAGGAATAGACAAATGCATTCAATTAAAGAAAATGCAAGTCTGATCAAGGACCCGTTGATGTACTTAATCACCTTTCCTGTTTAATAATCAATAACTACTTCACATCCTTGCTTCAAAAAATTTTAAGAAATAGTTAAGAAACACACCTATGATGATAAAGTGCATTTGTAAATGTACACTATGTTGTAAATGAGGTACACCAACTACACCTAAGAGCACAAATCATTCTATCTCAAAAAGTACCTCCCTCAATTCGGTCAAATTCCACACAAAAGCAACTTCTTTGTGTGGGTTACTTTAATGATTGATGATATAATATAGTGCTACAGAAAAGAAAAATAAGTCTACTAGTGCTACATAAGAAATGAAGACGCGCGCTTTGGAAACTTTTTTCTTGCCAGTTGAAATATTTTGGTGCTGATCACTTTTCCCGTGAAGAATCTGTAGTTTTCCATCTTTCAATCTTATCTCCCCTTTCAAGTTTTCAGACTTTTTGCTCGATGCTTACCTACACAATTGATATAATCCGGAGGAAAAAAAAAAGAATAGTGAAAAATGGCACTGATAGAAGTCTTTCTTGGTGCAATCATCAAGGTGATATTTGACAAGCTTGCTTCTGTCGATTTGAAGAAATTTGCACTCCCAGAAGGCTTAGATACTCGGCTGAAACGATGGAGCCAAGTGCTATCCCTGATTCGGGCAGTGCTTGATGATGCAGAGGACAAGCAGAATATGAGGATCGCTGTGAAGCAGTGGCTAGATGATCTTCAGGATTTGGCATATGATATGGATGATGTGATTGACGAATTCTCCACAGAAGCTTGTCGAAGAAAGTTGATGGAAGCTCAAGGCTCTACTAGCATGGTAAGAAAGGTTAAAATCCCTTCCTGTTGTACAACTTTTTCTGTTAAAGATTTTAAGTTCAACAGAAAAATGGCTCCCAAGGTGGATGAAATAACTAAAAGATTGGAGAGCATGAAAGAACAAATCAAAATCCTCCATTTGGTAGACTGTAGCAAAGAGGCCGAACAAAACTAGGGATAGATTGCCATCAACATCCCTAGTGGAGTCTTATGTTTATGGTCGAGAGAATGACAAAGAAGAGCTGCTGAAATTGCTCCTTTCAAATGAATCGAGCGATGATCAAGTGGCTGTGATACCAATTGTTGGCATGGGAGGGGTCGGTAAAACAACTCTTGCTCAAATGGTGTACAATGATGACAGAGTCAACGAATTTTTCGATTCCAAGGCTTGGGCTTGTGTTTCAGATGATTTTGACATTTTCAGGGTAACAAAGACAATCCTTAAAGCAATCACAGAAGGTGGCTGTGATTATGAGGATCTGAATATGGTTCAAGTGAAACTGAGTGAGGCCTTGACCAGGAAGAGGTTTCTAATTGCTTAGATGATGTTTGGAATCAAAAATACGAGGACTGGGACATCCTGTGCAGCCCATTTCTAGTTGGTTCATCTGGGAGCAAGATAATTGTCACCACTCGGCATCATAGGGTGGCATCAGTAATGTCTTCCACTGCTGGATATAGTCTGAAGGAGTTGACAGATGATGAAAGCTTATGGTTACTGGAGGACAAATTTTGACAGGTACCCCAATCTAGAAGGCATTGGTAGGAGTATTGTAAGGAAATGTAAGAACTTACCCTTGGCCGTGAAGACTCTTGGAGGGCTGTTGCGTGCTAGATCGACCCCAGATGAATGGACGGATATACTGAACAGTGAGATATGGGAAATAAAAGAGGATCAAAGTGATATTCTTCCAGCACTGAGATTAAGCTATTATCATCTTCCTGCCCATCTAAAACCGTGCTTTGCTTACTGCTCCATATTTCCCAAGGACTATGAGTTTGACAAATATGAGCTTGTATTGCTCTGGATGGCAGAGGGTTTTCTCGAGGAATCAAAAGCAAGTGAACTTATGGAGGACATAGGGGACAATTATTTTAAGGAGCTACTAATGAGGTCCTTCTTCCAGCAGTCAAGTTCCAATAGTTCACGTTTTGTGATGCATGACCTTATTAACGTTCTAGCTAGATATGTTGCTGGAGATTTTTGTTCAAGATTGACAGACGACTTGGAAGAGAACATCAAATGCACGATCCTTGACAAGGTTAGGTACGCATCATTCACAAGTTCAGCGTATGGAGCTTCACAAAAGTTTAAAACTCTTCAGAAAGCAAAACATTTGCGAAGTTTCCTGCCATTGCCCATTTTTGTCGAGGATGGCAGGGAGTTACACGAGTTTCACATCCCTAAAAAGGTCATAGCAGAACTTTTGTTGGAATTGCGATACTCTAGGGTGCTATCATTCAGTGGCTATTTTATCTTTGATCTACCAAATTCCATCGGTGAATTAATACATCTGAGGTACCTGAATTTGTCTGGTACTTGGTTGAAATTGTTGCCTGAATCATTGAGTAATCTTTGCAATTTACAAGCACTACGATTGCGCAACTGCACGGAGCTGATTAACCTACCGGTAGGTATTAGAAAATTAATTAACCTGCGCCATCTTGAAAATTCCAATACCAGTCAATTGCATGAGATGCCTTCAGGGATTGATCAGTTGACGAACTTGCAGACGCTATCCAAAGTGGTTGTGAGCAAACATGGTGGGTTCCGGCTGAATGACTTGGGGAACTTGTCCTTACTGGCAGGGTCGCTCGCCATTTTGGAGTTGCAAAATGTTACGAATGTTCAAGAAGCACGGGATGCCAATTTGAAGAACAAGAGGGACCTTGATGAACTAGTATTGGCATGGAATAGTGAATATGATGATTCTCTGAGTAAAGTTCTTCAACAAGATTTGCTTGAGGCGCTACGACCACACACAAACCTAACGATTCTTGAAATTGAGTTCTATAAGGGAGACAAATTCTCTTCCTGGGTGGGGGATTCTTCATTTACTAAATTAGAAGAAGTAAGCCTTAGAGGTTGTACACACTGCAAGTGTTTACCATCACTCGGGCAATTGCCTGCGCTCAAGGATTTGAGCATTCAAACCATGCTTGAGGTGAAGGCAGTAGGTACGGAGCTATGTGGCAAAGATTGCTCTTGGGAATTTTCCTTTCCATTGCTTGAAAGTCTAACATTTGATGACATGCCAGAATGGGAGGAATGGACTTGCTTAAGTTCAGCAGGAGAGAACGAATGCCACTTCCCTCTGCTCCAAAAGCTCTGTATAAGTAGATGCCCAAAGTTGAAAAGCATTCCTGTTTTGCAGCTTCCTTCACTCTCTGAACTAAAGTTGCAAAAGTGCTCGGTGGGAATTGCAAAATGTTTATACAATTTGACCTCATTAAACAATTTGGATTTTCGGCAGATTATAGGGCTTGCATCCCTCGAGGATGCGTTCATGCAGTTCCCATCAGGCCTTGAAGATATCACATTACGTGAGTGCCATCAACTGAAGAATTTGTGGGGCTCAAGTAATACTGTAAACCTTGTGCAGCTAAAATCTTTAGTTGTTTCAGAATGTTCACAGCTTTCATCCTTGGAGGAGCTTGCTGTTTTACCCATGCTTAAATATCTTAAGATAGAAAGTTGCAGTGCTCTCCTGTCTTTGCCTACATTATCTGGTCTTAACATATTGCGAATAAGCAGTTGCTCAGCCCTCAGTTGCTTACCAATGGACAAGTTGCTCCTCCCTCAGCTTAGGAATCTTGGGATCAGACATTGCCAGAAACTGAACCTTACTCCGGAGATTGTCATAGAGGACACTAGCACATCGATTGAGAGTCTGGAAATCGTTGGCTGCCCATGTCTGAATTTGAGAACAATGCTTGGTTCAGTCTACAGTTTTGCAAGTCTCCGGTTTTTGGATATTAGGGATTGTGATTATGATCTGGATCAATTGCCCACTCCAAGTTTGGAACGTCTTTCCTTGTGCAGATGCAAAAATGCTAGTTACTTGCCTGGTGGTTTGGGACGACTAAGATCTCTGTTGTTGTATTCTTGTTCAAGTCCTTTGTTATTTCCACAAGGAGATTTTCCTTCCACTCTGAAGTTTCTTGACATAGAGGCAGGAGAAAACTTACAGCTGAAGCCCCTGTCAGAATGGGGACTCAACAGACTCACGTTTCTTGAAAGGTTCTACATCCGTGGTGGATATCCAGGGCTGGAATCATTTTCTGGTAGTGGTGATGATGGATTGGCTTTGTTTCCTCCAACTCTTAGGTCCGTCGCCATTGGTGACTTGCCAAATCTGAAATCGCTCTCCACGTTCTTGCGAGGTCTTACAGCTCTTCGATATCTGCATATCTTTAACTGCCCCAAGCTTGGATCCCTACCAAAGGAATCGCTGCGTAATCCGCTTCAAACTCTAGTAATTAATAAATGCCCACTTCTTGAGAAAAGGTGCTTGATGGATAGAGGAGACTACTGGCCCATGATTGAAGACATTCCCTGTGTGGAAATAGGCAGTGATGGCATCAGGTACGCAGAGATTCAGAGATTTTCACTCTAATTTATTGTTCGATTTTCTTACTGATTTTCGCTTAAAATTGTTGTTCAAATTTTTTTTCTTGACTCCAACAAATGAAGTCATTAAAATTATTGTTCAATTTATAGCAAAGATCATTAAAATGAAGTCAAAAAGACAAAAATACAAGTCAAGAAAAATTAGGAGACATATAGTTAGGTGCACCATTTATGTTATGTGCAACAAAGAGGTCTGGGTTGCGGGGGCAGAAGTTCAGTACTGTCCAGTTTGTTGATTACATTTAACGCCAAATTTATGTACCAAAAAACACACACGCGCGCACACACACACACACCAATCAAACGCAGTCACAGACACAAGTCAAGTTTCGCGTTTTGCAAGTTCAAAATCTTACTCTGTCTACTTATTTTATTTTTCTTGTTCAGGTAAAAAATTTGTTGGCACGACGTAGGCTCAACTCGCTTGGCAAGTCTATGCGCCTACAATGCAGATTGCAGAGGAAACTAATCATGGGATCCTTCTGCCCATCTTGTTCTTGTGTTTTACTAAGTCCCTACAGTTCCTGCCTTGATGATATTGCAAGTCTCTTTGTTGGGCCTCTTATTCACAATTGTAGAGATGGTAGAATATAATAGGGCAAATTACATTTTAGCCTCATGTGATTTTCGTAAAAACCACATAACCCCCGTGATTCAAAAGGCTATACATAAACCTCCTGTGGTTTGGATTGAACTGTCAAATAGACGGAAAGCACGAATTGTGACGATTCGTGGGCAAAATGTCCAAATTACCCTAATTAACATATCTAGTCTATTGGGGAATGCGGAGCTTTTCAATTGGGTTCTGATTGCTGACATGGCGGGCTTCCATTGGCCGATTGGTGGTCGTCTGCTTCGTGTGAATTCGCTCGCGTAAATTGGTCGTCCAGGCCGATCGTTTGTTTTCTTTGTTTGCTTGGACGTCCATATTGGAAGCCTGCCGCTAAATTGTGGTCCCACGTCCTTTGTTTTTTTTTCCTTTTCTTTTTTTTTTATTGGATTGGAAGTGCTTGTTAATTACCTTTTTTTGGATGCTACAGCTAGGGATGTAATCGAACCGAGCTGCTCTGTTGAATGATTAAAAACACGGCATTATTAATCGGTTATTAACAACAAATTTCAAATAATTTGTAATTAGAGGTAATTCCAATCCAATAAGGGAATCAGAGGGGCTGTAGCTAGGGCATGTTTAATTAGCATTTTTTCCAATTATTAGCAAAAAAACCGCTTTTTTGTGGTTGCTCAAAAAAACACATTTAATTATCACATTTTTTCCAATTAATTGTTCGTTAACTGATTAATAATTTCAATTTTTATTACCTAACAAATCACATTTAACTGTCAACTTCTTACAATTATTAACATATTTGTAGTTTCCAAATAAATCACAATTACTTATCGATTTCTTGTAATTGACTTATATTAATTATTAACACATGTTTTTGTTTTTTGGGAATGAGAGGGGAAGGCATTCGACTATTATTATCAAATTTTCATTACAATTTTATTTGGTATCGATTCTACGTAAAAAATCAACAATGTGATGCGTTTCCGTTGGTGTCATTTATCATTTGTGCACCACGTTTGATTATCGATTCTCCGCTATTAATTGTTATAACTATTTATTTATCTTTTTTTATTTGGATTTCATTTTTTTACCCAATAAATCACGTTTAATTACCAATTTTTTATTCTTAATTGTTAATAACTAATTAATGATGTCATTTTTTATTGTTGTTTTTTTGGTTACCCAACAAATCACATTTAGTTCATGATTTTTTTGCAATTCTTAACCAAAGAAACAAAAAAAAAACCCTTGACCGTTCGCAAAATCGCGTTTGGTTACCTTGGTTTTCCAGATTTTATTAAGGAAATGCCCTCCTTTATCTTGGGTTACCCAACAAATCAAGTTTAATTATCAACTTTTTTCCAATTTTTTTTGTTAATTAAGTTCTAATTTTGCTGTTTTATTGCCAGACAAGTCGCATTTAATTACCTGATTTTATAATTATTAAAATTTTTTACCCAGCAAATCGCATTTAATTACCTGTTCTAGGTAGTTATTAGCCAAAGTTTAGCCGCTTTTTTTTTGTTGCGGAATGAATCATATTTGGTTGCCCTTTTTAACAATTGATTGCTAACTAATTAATTAATATTGTTACCTTTTTGCTGCCCGACGATTTGCAATTAAGTACCAGATTGTTGCTATTAATTGTTAGTTAATTAATATGTCTATGTTGCTCTTCCTTGAGAAAAGTGCTTCCCACGGTTTTCAACTAATTACCTGATTGTTGCTATTAATTGTTAGTTAATTAATATGTCTACGTTGCTCTGACTTTAGAAAAGCGCTTCTCGTCACTCTTTTCTTCTTTGCCTTTGGCGGTCTTAATAATTAATTGCTTCGTAATTAACAAATTTTATAAATTAACATACTTAATTACCAATTCTTTGCAATTAATTATAGACGGATTTTATTTGTTTTGTTTAGATGCATCCTTTCTCGATTTCTTCATCCACCGCTCACATAGTCACATTACTTGTCATAAGCCTCCAGCCTCTTTTTCTTGACAGCTGATTATACCTCAGCTGAACACTACCTGTCTTATTTCATTATATTGCCCATCATTTGTCGCTCCATTTACGCTTCCTCATAAGAGTCCTTGTATTCTTTTTGTTCTTTGCTTAGGGTCATGTCTGTAAATCTGCAAGTTACCGTCACCTCTTCCCGTTGTCGCCCATCAGCTCTTTTGCTCCCGTTGATTGATGCTGGCTTCTGTTTTGCATTTGCACAGTGATTATAGAGTTCCTCCGGTTTTCCATGGCAGAATTTTTGCTGCTCGACATCATGAACAGTGGTAATTGTGCATCTACTGCTTTCTTTTCCATATTCTATTGCTCTGTTTCTTTGCTAGAGAGAAAGAGCTACCTCATAAGCATTGTCCTTCATTTTCTTTAGCTATTTTGGACCTTTCTTTTCTCGATTTTTTTGCCTTGGTTTTAATTTGCGCTGGTGTTGTCACTGCTTCCTGGTGAGCATCTTGATTTTACAGTTTGCTTTCTTTAGTTTTTCCTCTAATTGTTCGAATATTTTTTAATTACTGTTACGCTGCTTTGTTTTCTATTTCTTCCTTGATTCTCTACTTTCTTGTGCACTGGTTCGACCATTTTTACTTTTCCCCTGTCCCTGCTATATTTTTATCACGAAATCCGCTTCTTTTTTTTGTCGCTCGTGTTTTTTCCCACCTTTTCTTATTGCCTCTTGCTTGCTCGTGGTTTCTTTGATAGCTTCTGCTGTTATTCATTTCTGCGGTATTGGACCTCTTTATACAAGCAGGTTAGTTATTCTCATTTTGTTTTCTTCTTGTTCTACTTTCCTCGTCATGTGATAACTAATTAATGATGCAAGAAATCACATTTAGACGCAATTTATAATGTCATTTTTTTGGTTACCCAACAAATCACACTTAGTTACCATTTTTTTTGTTTGACGAAAAAAATTACCTTAGGCAATGCAATTAGTAAAAGTACTTTCCTCGTCTTTTGCGCCAAAGAAACGATAAGGCGTGTCGGCATGGCTCGAGGTAACTACTCTCCGCTGCAAATCACCTATCCATCACTCCTTTTCTCGATCATCTCTCCTCGCTTCCCTTTTGTCCATCCAAAATCATCTTTCTTCTCCATACCAAAACCTCTAAGGCTCATTTTATGAAGAAGTCTTCCTTAAATTCAACTCTCCTTTTATCTCCTCCTCTTCTATCTAATTTTTTCCCCACTATTGGAAGCTGAAAATCTGATACAGGTTCTTTTATATTGTTAATTTGCTATTTTTATGCCTAATTTCTTCCTTTTTTTGGACCACAATTTTTTGTGTGATCTTGTAGATCGCTCACTATTTTTTCATCTGGCTACTCACAGGTTTTATTTTCTCACATTCGTTTTCCCTTTTCTATGTATAATTTCTTCCTTTTTTGCTTGCCATAACTTTTCTGTATAATTCTTTTTTTCTTTTGGGAGCCACAAAAAATCTCCCTCGGCCTCTGAGAAGAGGAAATAAAAAGGTGTTCCAAAAAAAAATAGGCAAGTCTCCTTAACTCGCTAAACAAAATCATGATCTGTTAATATTTTGTTTTGTTTTCTTATCACCTAGATCGACATAATTTGCATATCTTGAAGACTAATGGAGCACGAGAAGAAGGAAAGAATAGTTCAGTTTTTGGCAAAATGTTCACTTCAGGTTTGCCTTTGGCTTTTTTTTCTGACATTTTTTTGCTGATCTTTCCTTGGCTAAAAGCAACAAATCACCTTGCCCCCTTCCTTTGTGTCCTTTGTATGTTATGCTTTTGGATTTTATTACAAAGGAATATATTCAACTTGAAAAAGTATTGCGTCGGTATGAACTGGTTATGAAATTTTGGAAATGCATTTTAGACGTTTAGTGCTTAATGTCTGGTTATTAATTGGAAAACACAATTTCTTCACTTCATGCTAACCCTTATGCTTTATTGTCATTTTCTTGTTCCTTATTGTGGTCTCACATATCCTATGATAGATGTGATGGTCTAACATATTAATTATCTATGCTCTCTCATAAGTTTCAAATGTTTGTTGTAGCTTGAGATGTTAAGATCTGCGAATTCTTTTCTCAAGTGAGCATTGTATCGGCTCTTTGTTTTTTTCCCATAGAGAAAAGTTAATATAATTTCATTTTTCCTTTTATTTTCCTAATAAATTTGATTTTTCTGATATTTATTTATTCTAAATTTTTGTTAGATAAAGGAACAAAGCAAAAAGAAGCCTAATTTTTTTCATTTAGCCTTAAAGGTATGTTTTGATGTTTTAGTGTTCTCTTCATTTTTTTTCTTAGCATTTTACTATAAGTTTCTGGTCACTTTACCCTATTTACTATTCTTGAAAAAAGTGGAGTATGAAATTTTGTGAAGGTACTGCATTTCCTTTAGATTTAGAGTCAGTTCCTTTAGTATTTTACCTATTTTAGTAAATTCATCAATAAGAGGTTGCAAGTCTTCTTTGGCTGCTCAATTCCAGTAAGATCTTTTAGTCAAGGTTTAATAGCATTTGTTTTCACCCTATTTCATTGAAAGTTATGATTACTGATGAAATCATTATAAATTTTTTTCTCTGCTTTGATGGTGTCATTTTTGAATAACTCTTTAGACGTAGTAATTTCTAAGAAAATGATGTATATTGACTTATTGTAGCTTTTGTTACTCGCTGTCCTGTACCTCCTAATGCTTTCATGTTTGAGTAGTTGGAATGATGTAACTGAAATGGCTAAAAGAACCTCTAAGATAAGATCTTTGTATATAGAAAAAAAATGTTCATGTGCTCCATCCCAGTTGTAAGTTTAAATACTGCCGCCCTAAATTTCTAGCCAAATTGTGTATACTGGGGAATGATCAATAGGTGGTGATTACTCCTTAGCTTCTCCGCCTTTTCTCAATTAGGCAATTAGAATTTTCTAACACATTTATGTAAAAAAGAAAATTAAAATCTAAGAATTACATAGAGAATAAATTGCGTTTCAGGATTTAAAAAATAAACTCTAACAAAAACCAAACTAATATATTGAAATTTCTCTGTAGCTTTTGCTTGATTTTTTGGAGCTTTTTGTTTTGTCATTGAGCTTTTTAAGAAAGAAGAGAAAATTTTCTTTTAGTTTAAATTGATGTCCTATGTTCATTCATGTTGTCTTGGCGAAAATGTGGCATGAATGAAATATAACTACATGATTTATAAGCCAAAATGCATGTTGTTTTTGATTTTCTGTTCTTTATTTATTTACCTAGCATTCATGTTTGAGAAAAATTGGCTGGCAGGAGGTATATCTCAAAATAAGATGGTGGCTCAAAATGCATCTGCTATTTGTTGGGTTTCTATTCTTTATTTATATATCCAACATTAATGTTTGAGAAAAAGTTGAATGGCAAGAGGTATTATTCAAATATAATGGTGGCTCAAACTTAGGAGTACGGAATGTGTTTTTGACGACTTTGTTTTATATTTCATGCTTTAGTATTTCCTTAAAATTTTGCAATAAAGTGTGGCAAAAACTATGGGTGCGTTACCTGTGATTTAACAAGATTGTCATTCTACTATTTACACAAAATGTTATTAAATTCTAATATAATTCCTTCTTGGCAGATCTGATTGATATTTAGATAGCTGGAACTTGGAAGCTAATGGAAGCTCATGGTTTTTCGTCATGAATGCTTGATACTTTGTTTTCTCCTTTCCAATATCTTTAGCAAAAGTCATTATTTACGTCAACAACCACTTGCTATAGTATAGATATCAAACTTTGTGATTTTTTTTTTTTTGAAATTTTCACTACTAATACATAGTTCCAGTAGAATTGGCTGATTGAACGCGGCGCTAGAGACTAGATAAGAAAAGACGAGAGGCATTTCTAGATATAGCAGTCAATACTTCTGGATAAATGTATCTTATATCTTAAATTGTAATTTTTCACAGGTAATGAGATGCATTGTACAGTTGGGGAGCTTACCTCAATTATGTGTTATTATGCTCTTCAACTTTATTAGTATTATTTCTTTTCTTAATTGAAATGTTGACAAAATGCTTCATTATCTACCACATGCAAAAAATGATAAAAAAATAATTTTTAGTTGGAAAAATACAGCCAATGAGAGCTCTGGTCATATTAGCTTTTTAACTTCCCACTGGGCATATTAAACTTGTAACATCACACCGCACATAGGGCGGTGTTCCTCTCCTAGTATAAATACAAAAGGGAAGCAGATGAAGTCAGATGCTCTGGTCTTTGTCGTGAGAAAGAGAGAGAAAAACATGATCGGTTGATCTTAGTTACAATCTTCAAAATCTTCCTTTACTGCAACTCTAACTGAATCCCAAGGATGTGATTTTGCTCTAAATCAGACTTGATCCCTTGAAGCGCTTCACTCTAATTTTCTTCCTTAGAAAGGGGAATTCTCCCGATGGTCAGTATCCTTTGAGGTAAGGCAGGCCTCTCTGACCAGTGAGAGTGAGCTCCTCATTTTCCTTGAGCCAAAGTAGAGATTCCTGCTTCCTTATTATCTAAAAACATATTTAAGAATATCGGGATTAGTCAGAGTCATTTCCTAAACTTTTAGACGAATCCTAATCTCCAGCAGCTTTAATAGAGCTAGTTTAGTTCTTGCCAAACCTTATCTTGGTTCTGATCCTGATTCAATCTTCTCCCTAAAGGTTGCCTTCGAGCCTCTACTTCTGAGTCAGGTAGTTCACCTTGTGAGAGGATTCAGCAGTAGCAGAAGAAGAGTAGCTGTAGCCGTATTCTTTTTTTTTTTTTTTCGCAACGATAGATGTCGTATAACCTATTCTAACTTAATCTAAGGGAAGGGGTAAGGGGAATGGTCAACTAAGACCAGCCACATATTGTGGCAAAATTTTTTTGTAGGATTCAACCCCTGCCTCCAGCATCATCATTAAGGTGATGACCACTGGACCAAATGGCCAGTGGCGCTGTAGCTGTATTCAATATATCGAATTTGTGCAATATTGTAACCAGGCTCAATTTCTCTAATCTTACAACCTTGAGTAATTTTTGTAAAGTATGACTTATTTGTCTTCCCATCTGTTGTAGGTTCGCAAGGTTGCTTTCTGAGGAAAGAAGACTACGGGAGCTTAGATCTCCTTTAACCAGCAAAACTGCAAAACCGCCACCCCTCACTTAATCATGCAATGCCAAAAACGATCCATTTATTGTTTTATTGTTACATTTATTTTTTTTACCCAACTTTGTAATTCGGAAAAAGGAAAAGACTGCACCTTGAGGTTATAACTCACCTTCAGATTTCCTTCGTTATCTATCTTGGTTTGGTTTCTTCATTAAATGTATTGCCTTCACCAACATTCAGTGGAAAGTCAGCTGCAAATTACATTCGGAAGCTGGAAAGAGATGAAGACCACAGATCTAAGCTTTATTGGGTGCTTTAAAGCTGACAGGGGTAATATGGGAATGTTTCTTACTGTTATCAGTACAACCAGCGCGTTTTGCCCATGAATCGTCACGATTCGTGCTTTTCGTCTATTTGACAGTTCAACCCAAACCACAGGGGGTTTATGTATAGCTTTTTGAATCATGGGGGGTTATGTGGTTTTTGCGAAAACCACAGGGGTCTAAAATGTAATTTACCCAATATAATATGTAGATAACTACTTGTTCCAATTCAAAGTTCCGGCTGCCTTTGCGGTCATAATCCTAATTTTCTAAAAACCTTTATTAATTTGGATAAATCTTTTTATGTACTAACAGTGTATAAATTAGTGGATCTAAATGCATGCAACATATACAAAATTTAATGTTCAAATTCAAATTCAAATGATGTGGTATTTATCCAATTCCGTCGGTGTATATACTAACAGTGTAAAAAAGATTAATCCTATTAACTTTCTCACTTTACTTGATCAAAATTTTGTACTTCTAAAAGCCATAAAAAGCGAAGAAATGATATAAGTCGTGGATATTTCGCCAAACAATCAATTCTCTATAAAATCAATGTGAGAAAGTATTCAACTAATCGAGCACAATTGCTCTAAACTCCACAAGAATTATAAATTGAAATACCTTGACATTAACAATAATACTTAAGTAAACTCATCATACAAGTCCTGTTGAAATGTGGGTTGTTTATAGTAATGTTTAATGATTTCAGAAAATACTAATGAACAATACAGGATAATACAATATAGCTAACATGAAGATTAAGTTGTATGTATGTATGTATGTATATATATGTCTCTGTGTGTGCGTGTGTGTGTATATATATATATATATAACCACATGTTTCTTTCTTTCTTTTCCTCTTTTTTTTTTTATTTTTTCCTTTTCTGAAGTCAATTGGAATATTTATGGAGAAACCAATGCTCACTTACTAGTTTGTGAAGATGCTTCACTCTAAATTTGGGTCCATGGACTAGATTTGCAACGTCACATGGCGTACCCATGAGACTGTGTTCTCATGAATACTAGACATCTTGATTATAACTTTAAAAAATTCACTAAAATTTACAACTTACAATTACTCTCAAATGATAATGCCACTAACGTTAAAATCTACAATATTTCAATTTATCATTGCTAATTTATACAACCTTAACTTAAGAATTTCAAACTCTTCATTTAATGCACTTATTAAACACCTTACTTTATAATTCCTAGAATGTGATCATCAGTTTTTTTACCTCTTCGTTTATCTTCTAAAGATATGCAATCTTGCTTCCAACTTATAGCCAATAATATATATGACTTAATTAGTTCACATATGTTATTTCATTTACTTATTTCTATCTTAAATAATCCTATAAAACATATGAACCTTTTATAAAAAGTAACTAAAAAGGTTTCTTAAAAAAGGAAGATTTCCCTATTCCGAAAGTTTTCCATTTTGGAAAGTTTCCCCTTTTGGAAATACTTCTCTTTTTAGAAAGTATTTTAGTTCAATTATCTATAAGAAAAAAGTTTCTATTCTAATATAAATAGGCACATATTGGTTCAGTTGGATTTGAATTTGGATTTGACTCTAGAGTTAAGCCTACTCTTGAAAAAGGCTTCTTTTTATTTAATTTGGATTTATAAACAAACTTGGACTTTTAATAGTGTTATT